TATAATGTCTGTGGGCTTTGTAGATGTGATAAATAAATGCTAATTGTGAGTTTTACTCTTTCTTTTTTCACCAGGAGTCATTCTTTGGTGTGTCTGCAGAGGATGCTTCAGCCAATCAGGAAGCTCAGAACAGCATCTGCCAAATCATGGACTCTCTCTGTCCACCAGGTGGCAACGTGGGTATGTCTGTCAAACCCATACACAGTACATGAAAAATGGACATAGCTTCTTGGTCAGAAAAGTTGAGGATGTGTGCCTTAAACCTTAAACCTGCATGTTTTTTTAAAAGGCCAATAGGTCCCAGCTTCTCTGGTCATATTGAAAAAAGGTCTGGCTGTATAGAAATCTCCAGTGCCTCTCAGCTACCTGTGACTTCAGAAAAAAAAACTTCTGTGTTTTTCATATCAGTTGCTTCTTTCGTGCTTTTTGGAAGTCCAGTTTCAAAACAGAAAGATGGAAATTGGAAAACACTCATAAAAATGTGACATGACTCATGTCCATCTTTCATACAGTGTGCATGGTCAAATCATTAGAATAATTCTTCAGTTTTAGTTATGGAAACATAATAACTTTCGATCTAAATTGTGTAATGAACTGGACCAAAACATAGAATCAGACATGACATACTGAAAGCTTCAAAGGCATTAATTTGGCTTTTTAATATGTCTAACTTTACAGCTCTGTGGTAGAGATTTGGGGAAACAAAACATTGCACAAAACAGTATGTGATCAATATATATATCTATATATAACAATATACAAAAAAAAACTTCCTGCAGCTTTGCAAAACCAGAAGCAGCAGCAGGTTTAATGTCAGCCGCAGGTTTGTGTTGCCGGATGCTTTGTCATGTCTGCCTGTTGGTCCTCAGGTCAGCACCCATGGCTCGACTTATGTTTGATGGCATATCAAGCAGAGGACGACGATGGACAGACTAAGACCTGCTATCAGGTCTGTGACACGACTGTTGTGAAACCCTCATCTGAATGATCTGACACCATCTGCACCACCTGTGGGAAAGATTCAGATGAAATTCTGATCAGAGGATTCTGATTCTGTCTGTTGTTGCTTTATTTCTTTACATTTCTATTTATTGTGTAAATAAAGTTGAAAACGGAATAAAATACCAACTGCATTTTCTTGCCATTTCCTGTGCCGCCTGGGTAAACTTTTGATGACTTTTCAAAATAAAAGGTGAAATTTTTATTTTTTATTACAGTGTATCCAGTAAGTATTCACAGCATTTCACTTGTTCCACATTTTTTGACTTTTACACCCTTATTTCAAAAATGGAGTAAATTCATTTTTCAGTTCAACATTTTATACACAATGATGACAGCATGAAAAAGGTTTGCTTGTAATTCTTGCACATTTATTACATGAGTATTTGCAGCCTTTGCTCAATAGTTTAAGTACTTTTGGCAGCAATTACAAGGTTCAAGTCTTTTTGACTATGGCCAGACTATTTCTGGCCAGTTTCTCCCATAAGGTTGGATAGATTTTCAGATCTCTCCAGAGATTTTAAATCGGGTTCTGAGTCTGTCCAAATCTGAGCCATCCTGAAGTTATTCCTTTGTTATCTTGGGTATGTGCTTAGAGTTGCC